GTAAAGATTTACAGCCTCGGAAACCCTGTACAGGGTCGCTGTGAGTCCGAACCGACTCCACTGCACTTAACAATAGCAATTTCGAAGTAGTCATTGTTGGCTCAAGATTATCACCATGTGGTGGTCACAGATATCACGAGCGGTCACTTATCATGGCTTTGAAATGACAAGACCTCAGGCACACAGAAAAGTTAATGGAGCAACTTTCTACCTACAAGTTCAAAGATTCCAGATACATAATTCCTGTTTTGGAAACAAGCGGCCGCTGTCCGACCCTCAGACGCTCACAGGACCGTCGGACCAAACACTATCCCTCTCCATACAGGCCCTTAGGGTCTCTGGTTCCTCATAAGACGTCCCCTTGTCTGGTCCCCCGCGTCTCCCGTGCCGTTTAGACCAATGTCACCCACACGTCGCCCCGGTAGCTCACCTAGCTGCATTTGAGTTCCAAGCCGCGTCGGACCTCGCGTAGGCGCAGTTGGCGTGGTCTCCGAGATCCTGAGGCGAGGCGGGCTCTCGGCTGGCAACTACCCGGGCCTACTTGAGCGAATCGTATTCCGCGCTCGATTATCCCTGTCTGGTTATGCGAAGCGCCGGCGCCGTTTACTGCGCTCCCGGCATACCCTGGGCGGCGGCGGCGGCGGCAGCGGCAGCGGCAGCGGCAGCAGAAGCAGAGCGTGTGCTGCGAACCCGCGGCGGGTAGGGGTGTGAGCGGCCAGAGAGTTGAGTGGAAGCCGGGCCGGCAGGCCGCCGCCGCCATGCAGGAAATAATCGCCAGTGTGGACCACATCAAGTTCGACTTGGAGATCGCGGTGGAGCAGCAGCTCGGGGCGCAGCCGCTGCCCTTCCCCGGCATGGACAGTAAGCGCGGGGCCGGGGCTGGCGGGCAGGACCAACTCGTTCCCAGGTCCCCTTCCGCTGGGATCCCGGACAGTTCCACCTTTGTTTCGGGTTTCCTCCCCTTGGTCCCGCGACTCCCTTTCCCTCGTTCCCCAATCCCCAGTCCGGAACTCCTCTCCTTAAGTGCCGAAACCCTTTAACCCTTGGTCCCTTGGTCCTTTTCTCTTCTGGGGCTAGAGCCCCTTCCTTCTCCCCCTTGGATCCTGGAGCCCTCCTTCGGATCTCCCATCCTCTGGAGGCCGTCCTAAGGTTATCTTTAGTAGGGCCGGACTGTCCGACTTTAAATAATTGTTGAATGTAGGCAGCTTCTCCTGGCTTGGAAATACGCCCCAAAGCTTCTTCAGCTGCAGGAAAGTACTAGGGGGCTCCCTATTTCTTAGGGATCCCCACCTCCAATTGGACAGCCACTTGTTTTCATCAAAACACTGGGTTGTTGGAGGCTTACTGAGGGAAGGACCACCTCTCTCTAGGAGATTCCCCACATCTCTCTCACCCCTAGTTCTGGATCTCCCTATGCTGCCTTTTTTCTGGGTCCTTCATTACACCCAGACCTCTGTTTCAGACTCTTTCTGGGTGATCATTCTGATTCCCCTCCCCCTCTCCCTCTGGTAGTTCCCATCTCTCTCCAGAGCTGCCCCTCCCACAGAGCAGTGGGATAGCTTTTACTACAAAAGAAATTGGCAGTTTTCTGTACTTATCTCTTCTCCCTGGACAATCTTGAAATCTAACACTTAATATTAAAGCTCAGAAGGCTCTTAGAGGCTCCACGGGGAAACTGCATCCTTGCTGGAGGATGGGTCTTGCCCGTGACTTCTCAGTACATGACAATGCCCCTGGCTTGTCTGTATTTTCCCATGCCCCCTGCCTGGGGATTGTGGCCTTGTTGTCTCATTGTCTGTGAACTGAGGGGATATCCCTGCAGTCTCAGAGGTCACCTTCCCAGTAAGAGACCTCCTGTCCTTGTGTGCTAGAGAATGCCTCTACCCAAGACACCTGCATCAGCCAGCCTTAATTTGTAGAGGTACAACAAATCCTGCTACTGTGGAACATGCCTCGTACACTGTTCACATTTGGATACACATTAAGCACTCTCTTCCCCAGTGATTGACCCAGGATCATGACATACTTGCACACACACACGTCCGAGCCTTCCCCTGTGTTGATGACACCGCTTGTGGTCGTGGGACCACCTATGTGGGGTAGCTCTTCCTTCCACCCTTCTCCCACTTGGACCACATGTTTGTGAGTCTTTGAGGGCAGGCTCAGCAATGAGGGGCCCACATACCTGTCCTAGGGTAGGCCCGGGACACGCCCAGTCTCAGTCCAGTTCATGGACTGAGAAGTGGAAGGTGCCTTTAGCACCCATTGCCAGTATGTGAGGACTCCTGGTGTGTCGCTGTAGGATCAGCACTGGATTGTAATCTACAAGGTGGAAAGTTCAAACCCACCAGCTGCTCCTCAGAAACCCTATACAGGGTCTCTATGAGTTGGAACCAACTTGACTGCACTTAACAACAATCACCTGTATGTGAAGGGACCACCTGTATATGGTGCAGTGCTTAAGTGTTCAGCTGCTACTCAAAAGGTCTGTCATTCAAGCCCACCTGCCCCTCTGGGAGAAAGATGTGGCAGTCTACTTCTAAATGAGGACAACCCTGGAACCTCTCTGGGTCCGTTCTGTTCTGGAGTCAAGAGTCAACTCCACAGCACCAGGTTTAGTTTTGGTTTGGGGACTTGGATGTGATGTTGTGTGGCGGGTAGAGCCTCATCTAAATGCCCAGCAAGGCCTCAGCCTCCTGTCTGTGTGTCCACTGCATTTCCCCCTTCAGACTAGGCCGAGCTCTGCACTAAGGCATGATTTTCTTACCCTAGTTGCTTAAAATCCAGTTCCAAGAGCAGATTTCTAGCTTTCAGGAATGAAGCAGGTTCTTAATCCCTAAAAAGAACAAAGGTCCAGACAAAAAGAAATACACAAATGATATGCTTTCAATGAATGACAAAGTGACTCCCTGAGTCCCAGGGTCTATGATGAGAAGTCCATACTAGCGCAGTCTGCCTATATTGGAGCATTTGGATGTTGCTGTGTGTTAGTTAGCAAGGAGAGATGGCAGTTGACTTCAGGGGTGCCCATGATGGAGGTTCAGCAGTTCTAAAATGCCTGCAGGAGAAAAAACTTTATGGAGCCCCAAACTAAACCCGTTGGTGTCCCATTGACCCCGTCTCATGGTGACCCCAGGTATGTCAGTGCAGAACTGTGCTTCACAAGCTTTTCACTGACTGATTTTTGGAAGTTGCGCACCAGGCCTTTCATCCAAGGCGCGTTGGAGTGGAGCAGCTGAGAGCGTTCACTGTGTGCGCCGCCCAGGGGTGCCTGTTTGTGGAGCCGGGGGCGGTTGACTCTGATGAGCAAGTCCCTGGCTTGTGTGGACGGTGGGACCCCAGGAGTCACTGCCTACATTCTTCTCTTGCTCTCTCTCCTGAGCGGGAAGGACTGTGCTCCCTTAAGAATTGTGGCTTTGGTGTGGCACTAGAGGATAAGCCCAGAATGGCAAGGTCAGTTTAAACTACAGGTTTGCGGTTCACCACCATCAGCTGCTCCTTGGAAACCCTATATAGGGTCACTATGGTCGGAACCAACTCCATGGCACTTAAGAACAAATTGCACATTCAAACCCACACTGCTTCTGCATCTACACTGTGCCCTTTTCATCTGGAATACCGCCCCAGGGGTGCACACCTCTCTCAAACCTCCTCCACCCAGTCCCCACTCGCTGGTTTGTACTACCTGGGAGACCAGTCCCTCCCTCGGCCACTGGTTAACATGTGTGGGAATTAACCTTCCTGGAACATACAGCTGGGGGTAATTAACTTCTGTGACCTCCCTTCCACCCACTTGTAACTCTTTGAAACCGTCTTGTGTATAGTAGGCGCTTAAAGCACCAAGTAAATGGCTGGTCTCCATGATCATGTCTCACTTTGTGGGGATGACTAGAATAACCGGCTCTTTCCTCCTGACCCAATCGAGCTTTGTGGGGGGTGGGTTCTTTGTGTGTGTGTGTGTGTGTGTGTGTGTGTGTGTGTGTGTGTGTGTGTATGTCTGTGTGTGACACTCTGCTGTAACCTGAACCCTTCACAGGTTAAAAGTCTGAAAGCATCCCTCCCACCCTATTCGGACGAAACCAAAAGGGATTGCATTTAGCTTCGTGTGACTTTCTCCTTTTCTTTCCTTTCTACAGAGTCGGGGGCTGCTGTCTGCGAGTTCTTTCTGAAAGCTGCCTGCAGCAAAGGTAACAGTCTGGCTCCTGGGTGCCCTCCCGCACAGTCCATCATGTCTCTTGGTGCTGTTGTTTTCTGTAGAAAGCCATGTCCCTGGGTGAGGATGGGGTTTGGCAAGGAGAGGACGTGATGGAGAGTCCTGCCTGGAGAGTCAAATGGGCCTGAGCCAGTGCTGAGGCTGACAGCTCACCTCACTAGCACCCTCTCCTGCTCCCTGACCTAGACAGCATTACCCTATAGGGTCCATAGGAGTCAGAATCAACTTTAAACTGATGGTTCTTGGTTGTTTTTAGCTATTAAAATTAAGAACGTTTGCTTGTGACCCATCTTAAGGTCATGTGGTTTTGGACTGGTGGCATTGCCCCACCTGCTGGGACGTGCATCTTTAGGCCGTACCCACTCCTCACTCGTCCATCTTCCTCGCCAGGGGGCATGTGCCCATTCCGCCACATAAGTGGCGAGAAGACGGTGGTGTGCAAACACTGGCTGCGGGGCCTGTGCAAGAAGGGTGATCAGTGCGAGTTTCTACACGAGTACGACATGACCAAGATGCCCGAGTGCTACTTCTACTCCAAATTCGGTAAGCGCCGAGGCCTGCAGAGCTCTATCACCGTCACCTCCTCCCAGCCTCCCATGAGAAGTGGGGGACCGTGTCTGTTCTCTCTCGGAATCCCCAGCGTCTTTGTTAGGCACTCAAGTCCCCAGGGAGGTGTGGAGTGAAGATGCTCACTTGGTGCCCCTTGGAGCTGGTTGCTGCCTCGTGTCTGCGTGGGTTGGGAGACTCATGAGGGTCCAGCAGTGAGGGTGTAAGCCATGGAGCTGATTGCAGCCTTGCATCTGCTCCCAGTGGCCTTCCGTAATCAGCCACTCGAGCCTGGGTTCTCCTTTCTCTCTGGGAATGGATCCTGGTGTCTTAGTTCCCTGCTGCTGCTGTAGCAGATATACCACGAGCATGTGGCTTTAAGGACCAGCATTGTCTCTTCTCATAGATCTAGAGATTAAAAGTTGAGATCAGGGTCTTGCCACGTAGGTTCTACCTGTGGATCTCTCACCTAGTGGTGACTGCCGATGTCCTTTACTTATCAGCCAGCTTCCTGTGCTCAGCCCTGTGTCTCTTCCACTCTTAGAACTCAAAGGGAGTTCTAAGTATAGGAGCCAGGCTGACATGCGTGGTGCTGATCTCATCATTGATGAAGAAAACACTTTTTCTAATCATGGGCTTAGGGTTTCTACACAGCTTGGTTGTTGTTATGTGCTTTCGAGTTGATTCCGACTCATAGCAACCCAGTATAGAGTTTCCAAGGAGTGGCTGGTGAGTTTGAACTGCCAGCTTTGCAATTCAAACCGATCTGTGGTCGAGTGCTTATCCAACAGCACCACATATAGCTTTGGGGGGATGTTATTCAACCCATCCTTTGGAGTGATAGCTTCACAGTCCTTAACTACCCTTAGGATAAGGATTCCATGGGCTGCCTCAGTGCTCGAGTGGTGTGGTGGGGACAGTGGGACTGGGCTGTTGTGCTTTCTGGTGGGATGGAATCTGCTGGAGTACTTCCCAGGGCAAGACTCGGGTGGTCAGTGTGTGCTCCAGGGCTGACATGAGGCTTCCAAGGAGGAGCCAAGGCCCCAGACGCTGTGGGAGGCCATGGGCGCCTACATACTGGATTGGGGAGCTGTGGGCTTTTGTCTGTTGTTGTTGTTTATGTCAGTTCTAACCCACAGCAACCTAAATAGGGTTTCCGAGGAGCGACTGGTAAGCTTGCAGTCCAGCACATTAACCCACAGTGCCACACCAGGACTCCCTTGTCCGTAGAGACGTTGATTATTTCTGTGTCCCTCAGGCTTGGCCGCTGGCTCATTGATGGTGACGGTGACCCTGTAGTATAACGGCAGCGTACATGGGGAAGGAAGCCAGGGCACAGACAGATCAAAGATCAGTAGGCCCCAGCTTCCTGCGCCTCCTCCTCCGGAATGGGCAGTGGCTCCTCCAAAGGCAGTGGGCCCTTGTCTGCATAGTCCACACTCACACACACAAGTTGACGCTCTCCCGGGGCCAGGCTGTGGAGGACGTCAGCAGTGATGAGGCTCGTGGGGACAGTGGTTGGGGGGCCATGGTGGTGGTGGGTTCAGCTGGGGGACTTCTGGGCCGAGGGCAGGCAGAGTGGAGAAGCCAGGTGACTAGAGAGGACAAGACTTGGGAGGCGCCAGCAGGACCGGGGATTATGTCAGAATTGGGGTGAGTTTTAGCAGGAGGGGACGTAATTGGATGTACATGCTCTGTGGTACTATGGATGAGAGAAGGGCACCCAGCTAAGTGGTGTCTTGTCATTGGGTGAGAGGGTAGGATGATGGCCAGCTGGGTCAGCTGCTCCACAGAGGTACAAATTGCCTTTACTTTGGTCCTTAACGGCAGAGCTCCTCCAGCCATTTCCCGGTCTCCCATCTCCCTGGTGTGTCCCTCCACTGACCTCTGAGAGCCGAGTTGGAGTGGAAGGAGGTGTTACTTGGAGCGGGCCTGCACCAGACTCTGTCAATGGGTGCGCCTTTACAGCCCTTGGTGTAGAAACCAGCCTAGCACAGGCCCCTGCCAAGGCCCTGGAGCCAGCCAGCTGGGCTTGGGTACCAGGCCTGCCTGGCTCTTCCTGGTCGTGCTGTGGCCAGCCCCCAGTGGACTCCTGTCTGCCTTTTCCTGCAGGGGAGTGTAGCAACAAGGAGTGCCCCTTCCTGCACATCGACCCAGAGTCCAAGATCAAGGACTGCCCTTGGTATGACCGCGGCTTCTGCAAGCATGGTAGGTGTCAGTATGCCAGCCCCAGGAAGGCCCGCTCCTTCTCTGCCATGTGACCCTGAGGCTGCCAGGACCCTCACCTATCCCATTTTGGGGTATAGGGCGTTCAGGGGCTGGAGAGGCACGCTCATACCCTGGCATGCCCTGTAGGCTATGTCTTGCCCGCACTTTGCTTATGACGACGAGGCAGAGACTGTGTTTGTGTCTTCCACTTGCTATCTGCATCCCAGGGGGCAGTCAGGCCAAGCTCTAGCGGCAAAGTGGGCACAAGGGTGCCCCCGTGAGATGGCCTGTGTGACCCGGCACTTGGCTCTGCAGGTCCCCTGTGCAGACACAGACACACACGGAGAGTCATCTGTGTGAATTACCTCGTGGGATTCTGTCCGGAAGGGCCCTCGTGTAAATTCATGCAGTGAGTAGTCAGTGCGCCTCCCCCACCTGTGCCATCCTCTTCAGCGGTCCAGCAGCCTTTGGTCCTGGGTGCAGGGCAATGGAATGGGCGGAGAGCGCTCCCTCATCACCGAGGTGGGAATTGGGTGAAACTCTGGGCCCCATAAAGACTTCCAGTCTTGGGTGTCATTAAGGGAGCTTAGGGACTTCATGACCACGGCCTCGGGGCAGGGAGCTAACATGCAGGTCTTCCTGTTGCTGGTCATGTGCCCCACCGCCGCCACTGCAGTACATTGAGTAACTTAACAAGCCTGGGAGAACCCTGATTCACACATGGCCTCGGGGTGGGACAGGTCACCTTTTCCTCTGAGCTCAGAGCAGCCTATCCCTCTGGTGACTGTGGCCTGGGATGGGGAATGGGACCTGTGAAGTAGATCAGTCTCCCCACTTCCCACATTACACACTCTAGTGCCACAACCACCTGCAGTTGGTCAGGGACCCCCAGGCCCTCAGCAGATTGAGTGAGTGGCTAGAGCCTTGGCCCCGTCCCTTAGCTGAGTGCAAGGCACCCTGGCCAGAGGAGTGGGGCGAGGTGCTGGGACTTGAGTTGGCCCCTAAGGGAAGGCGTGTATTGGGGGCTTCTGTGCACGTGGCCTGCTCATTCCCTAAGACCACCAGGGGCTGTTTCCTTTATTTCCCTGAGCCTCACCTGCCCCAGCCTCTCAGCTTGACCCCAGCAGAGCGGTGTTTGAACCCAGGCCCATCAGCTCAGTCCTTTCTGCTGTTGCCGAGACCTCCCAGGCGCATTGCTGAGCGCTGCCCCACCTACCTCGCCTGAGTTCAGCAGTGTGCCCCGGGTGGGTCTCCTCTCATCTCCTTCTCTTCTCGCCCTGTCTGCCTGCCTGCTGACCAGCCCTCGCTTTGAACTGCCCATGGGAGCCACCGAGCAGCCCCCACTGCCGCAGCAGACGCAGCCTCCAACCAAGGTACCGTGCCCACCCAGCACGCAGCCCCTCAGTGCCACTTCACTGTGTGGCACCTGAGACACAGGTCGCAGGCCTCATGAGGGGAGGGATGAGCATCGGGAGCCCAGCAGAAAATTTGGGGCCTGTGTGCTAAGGCAGACTTTCCACCTGGCTTCTCTGCCCATCTGATCTGGAAAATTCTAGAATCCAGGACCTGGAATGACAGGCAGATGTCTGTGTAAACATCTGAATGTGACAGGCTGCCCATGTAGAGGTAGGACATCTACTCTGGATTCCGGGTCAGACCTGCCTTTACAGATTATAGATGGGAAGCTCCCTGAGGGGCCACCACTAGGCAAGAGTGGACCTGGGTTGTTGCTCCTGTGTGCAGGCTCCTGACCACGGGCCTGAGGACTGGGAGGGACTGGGAAAGGAGGGCTGCAGGACCAGCTGGCTCCAGTGTTCCATACACAGGCTCCTGTCAGGCATTCAGCCTGTCCCCACCAGCATGAGAGGCCTAATGGGTAACCTCCCCTTCACCACCAAGGGTCTCTAGCTTAGGGGCACAGGAAGGGCTGGCTGCCTAGGGTGTGCTAGACAGGGTCTGAGGAAGCCTCACCCACCCATCTTGAAGCCTTTGAGCTGACTGGGCCCTCTTCAGTGCTAGAGGCTGAGCAATAGAGGGACATGGCTCAGGTCCCAGCGGAGCAGGCCCACCTTCAGGAGGTTGTAGCAGAAATCAAATAGAACTTCTCTTGAGAAAAGCCAGGAGTTTCTGGTGTGGGTACAGCTGTGATGACTCAAAGTCTCTAGTTTGGCATTCGTGCTTGAGGGGCCAGAAGCCCCCGTGGTTGGGAGGTGGTCCAGCTGGGGAGTCCCAGCACAGGAGTGCCCCGCCCCAGCCCCAGGCCAGCGAGTCAGGCTCCAACTGTTTTTCTGTGACTGTTGCTCGCAGTGTAGGCTGCTAAACATCTGGCTGAACCAAGCGTTCATCCTGACCTGAAGCTAGAACCAGAGAAACCAAAGTAAGGCCTGACCAAACCCGCGCCCCTCCCAGAGACCTCCTGTCTTCTTGGTGTTTTCTGTTCCACTTTTCTTTTCCGTTTCTGTGTGTCTGCATGGTGTTTTTCGGGCAGTGGCTCCTGAACAAGGTGCCGAGGGAGCTTCTCTCCCTGCTGCTCAGGCAGGAGAAGCCCACCTTTTCTTCTCCCGTCCCCTTCGGTAGTCTGCGTGCACGCGTTTTCCGCGGTAAAACCGTGTTGTGTGACTCTTTCCAGCAAAGTAACAATCCGCCATTACAAAGGTCGTCCTCCTTGATCCAGTTAACGAGTCAGAACTCTTCTCCCAACCAGCAGAGAGCCCCGCAGGTCATTGGGGTCATGCAGAGTCAAAACAGCAGTGCAGGCAACCGGGGACCCCGGCCGCTGGAGCAGGTCACCTGTTACAAGGTGAGTCCGGGATGGGGGGACAGGGCTGGAGGCGGGAGGTCTTCAGCTCTTCTCAGGGCTCATGCCCACCTTCACCAGACATGAAATCGTCTTTTCCCCAACTTGACTGTAAGATCGAGGTGGGCTATTGCAGTGGGCGGACACCTGCCTACTTCCTTCCTACTATGATAAACCAAGGCAAGGGAACTGTGACAGGTGCACTGCTGAGTGGATCGTGCTTGCAAGAGAGGGAGTACCTTTAGGAAGGAGGCTAGGACATACCACCTGGGTGGAGAGGCAGTCCTGAGTCCTGTCTGGCCCAGCAGCAGCCTTAACTTCCCCAAGCAAGCTCCAGGGTACAGGACAGAACCTGTGCCTACTCAAGAGGCATCTGGTAAGCACTGCTCCACGTGACTGGAACACTCAGGAGGGAGAGGCGAGCTGGAAGACACCTGCTAGGAAACTTTGGCTCATTCTTGGCTCTAGATACAAGGGGGGGTGGGGGGATCCCTTCAACATTTATCACTGGCTTGGCCCTTCATTGGAAGCTTGGGCCTGCACTCATGCCCTTGGGGAGGGCTACAAAGCTGCAGACTCAGATTCCTAACCTAAAGTAAGACCTGTGATGGAAGGGCCACACAGAATTCCCAGAGCTCAAGTGCCACAGAATGAGTTCATAATTAAAAATCACGATGCGTACTAGTAAACACTCACCAGCAACTTAACTAAACTCCCAAAGACCAGATTCTGGGATTGTTAGGCTTGAAATTGTAAATTAGTACATGGTTTTTGTTTTTAAAAAAAAATTTTTTTTTTTGATGATGCATATTTTAGGATACAAAGTAAGTGCCCTCTGATTCTTCCCACTGTCCCAAAACGGTCAGTTTATTGTGTTCACTTCAGCTCTCCAGCCTTTTGGATATAGTGCCTTTACACTCACAAATCCCTAAGGGAAACCCCATGTGGAGAGCTGAACTGATTCCACATACATACACGTGTATCGTTTCAACTCTTGACACTTAAGATTGTCATGAGCAGTTATTAGCATCCATGTTTAGAAGCAGATCTGAGTCTAAAGGCTTCTTCTGAGAAGGTTCATACAACTTGCCCTCCAGGCAGGTAGAGCCCCTCGGTTCTTCTGAGAAAAGGCTGCGATGGTCTGGGGAGCAGGTAGCTAGATGCACTGCTGGTGCCCTGAGGGGTGGAGTGGAGGAAGCCAGCACAGTGGGACGCTTGCTCCTTACATAGGAGATAGGAGGTGGTGGGCAGGTGCTGGGGTCTGCGGGCATTAGATGGGTCCATTCTCTGTCCAGTGAGGCAACAGGCAGTGTGGCTGCTGCCTTGCCCCACGTCAGCAGTATTACACAGGGGCCTCTCCCAAGTCCTGATATTCTTAGAGTGGGTGGGTTTGCTGGGGCAGCTGTGGAGGCTGAGGGATGTGGGAGTGCTGTGAGCAGCCCTGGAGGCCCTCCCTAGGCCACTCACCAAAGAGCCACTTGTCCACCCAAAAGTCACACCTAGAGAGAATTTATTTGGAGCAGGGACTGGGCAGTCAGTGTAGCCACTGGCTACTCCCTTTACTTCTTGAGGCGTGGCTGGAAAGAAACACCAGGGAAGGGTCTGGGTGAGGCAGGCAGTGCTAGAGTTATGAGAGGGTATTTTACTGTGTTCAGCATCCAAGCCTAACCACTGTCCCATCACTGACTTAGACTTGTCCCGGGGTAGCATAGGCAGGTGTGAGTTGAGCTAGGCGGAAATGCAGTGCAGGGAGCTCTCAGGCCCAGCAGTATCTTCTCTGGGGCTATCCTTCCCTCATCCTGCCAGGGAGCCTGGCACTGTAGAGGTAAGTGACTGACGTGCTCCATGGTGACATTCACTAGGTGGGGGTGGGCCCCAGTGATGGAGTCCAGTGGAATGGTGGTGGTGGTCCTCACTGCCTTTCGTGAGGAGCCCCCGCCCCAGCCTGCTGGGTGGTGGGCACTACCTGAGGTGGAAGGCCAGTTTCAACCCTGCTGTTTTTGTCTCCTCCCTTCTTTGCTGTTTCCAGTGTGGTGAGAAAGGACACTACGCCAACAGATGCACCAAAGGCCACTTGGCCTTTCTCAGTGGACAGTGACAGCAGCTGGAGCCACCTCAGAGCAGCCTGAGGGATCTGTTGTTTGGGCCCCCCTCAGGCCATCCTTGGGGCCGTGCTTTACTGTTGGGTGCCTGTGTCCGTACTGTCCTGGTGAGAGGTGACAGGCACAGGGGCAGTGGCTGTGGAGCTCCCTATCTTTTTGTAAAGGGCATGGCCTCCACTTGGGCCCCTGAAGCTGGCATCTTGTTTGTCTGGATGCGCCCTCCTCCCGGGAGGGAGGCTGGTACTGGGAAGAGCCTGTGCTGTGCCTTTGTGTGGAAGGTAGCCGTCCCCTCAGGGCCTCATTAAATACCAGTTCATAAGAACACAGGGGCCTCAGATAGCTCAGAACTTTAGCCAGGCCAGGCCAGCCTCCTGTGTGACCTGCTGAAACCAACAGCCGTACCTGTTAACGTGATGAGGACAAAGTGGTCCATGGCGGCAGCAGCTGGGTGCAGGGATCTCTCCTCGGCTTTTCTCCTGAGACACCTGCAAGACCACCTTCACCAGATGACCTCACCCACCCTGCTCCATTGGCACCCTGTCCACACATGTGCCATTGGCTGGTGAAGGAGGCCACTCTGTCCTGTGCCTGGAAAATGTGAAACCTTTAGCTACAACCTGCTGGGCCAGTGGGCCTGTCCAAGTTCAAGTTACAAGGACAATTTTTATAAGCTTGATTAAAACTTGTTTTCTAAACCATGTCTCATTCCTTTGGGGCCTTCAAGCTGAGGCACCTGGATAGCACGAACCTGAAATGTGGGTACTTTGTTCTCTTTCAACAAACATGCCTTGTACAGAGAAAGACATTTGTTACCTATAGCTTGATGAAGCCTGGGTTTATGAGGCGCCACCAGAGGAGTCCTGGTGCAGTGCTGAAGGAAAAGCACTCCGCCACAAGGTCACTTTGAACTGCACAGTCGGTGGTTCAAACTCACCAGCTGCTCAGAAACCCTATACAAAGTCAACTATGAGTCAGAACCAACTCTACAACACTTAACCAATGGGACTGACCGTTCAGCTACTGGATGACCTGCTGATTCAAACACAGCAGAGACCCTCACACTTCCTTGCAGTTTGTGCTGGCCACTCACTCAACAAGAAACTAAGACTTTACCAGAAGGGCCTCACTGCTACATGCAGCCTTAAGGGAAACTCTGGCTTAGTCGGTAACCACCTAGTGACCCTAAGAAACAAAGGAAACAAATGGCATCTGGTCACCCGCAGAAAGGCCTGTCTTCATGCTTGCTTACATCGCCTGGTAAGGCCACCCCTACCACACACAGGGCTTCTTGGTGGCCAGCAGGGCAGGGTGCTCAAGGTGCTAGAAGCCTAGGGCCTCTGGCTTCTACTAAAGAAGTGCCTCCGGAGGTAGGGTGGTGCTGGGCGGCCTGGCGAGCTGCAGTCAGCACACATACCTGTCACCTTTTATTGGGCATTACATTTCAGAGAGGGTGTGAAAGGGCTGTTCCTCCAGGGGGAGGGGTCAGGGCAAAGGGCCAGCCCAGTCAGGAATGCACACAGCGTCCTCTCAGTGATACTTCCGTAACCGCTCATGTTCTGAAGGAAGAAGAGAAAAAGTTTCTTAAAAGGTGTAGGAAGCCTAACACCAAACAGAAGCAGGTCATGTCATATGAAGCCATCCTGAGAACCACTTTGAGGAAATGACCCAGAACCCAAATCGGCAGACCTGGACACCCGTAGGCACCTTATGGGCTAATGTGTCCCCGGTCAGCCTCTTCCTTTCAGAATGGGACCATTTTTGAGTTGGTCCTTTAGGGAAGCCCTGGACACAAATTCCATTTCTTGGCACCTCCCACCAAACTCCTCTACTCCCACAGCACTGCACAGACACTACTTCCCTCTTCACAATGCATATTAGGGTGACTAAAGCCAAACTTTTCACCCACCTTTAGCAGAGCCCAGAGGATCTTAAAGAATACTGCTTAAATATTAACTACCTCAAGTCATCGTTAGTTTCCATGTCGTAATCATCTTTCCTCACAATTTCCACCCTTAATGTCCCCTATCTAGAACTGTGTTACTCAGTCCCTCCCTCCCTGTGGAGCACAAGTAAGGAGCACCAGGACCCTAGGCTGTAAGGTGAGTCACTAATTGGTGGCCAAGTCTAGCCAAGCAAACCAGTGCCTCCCTCACAAGTATTCCATCGACGGGCAGATGTTCAGGGATGGACACTCACTGAGTTCCTTATAAGAGAGGCAGTAGCTGAAAACCACGTAAGCTGTCAGCACCATGGACAACCCGGCGATGCTCCCCTTCTTCACGTTGATGTACTTGTTGTAATACCGATCGTAACCTGCAAGTAGAGGAGGCCATCAATGCCCCGCTCTGGTGCACGTTCTTCACAGTGAGAGGGCACACCAGGCTGAGGTGCGGAAGTGCGCTGGCCCCAAGCCACTCGCTACACTCACCGCTTGATAAAGCAGAAATGCCCCAACCGTGGGGCAGGGGCATAGGACCAGTATTAGCACGATCCAACGTCACCCCCACCTCCAGAATCAGGATGACTGAGGTGCTCCAGCCCCCAAGAAGGGTTGCTTGGCCATGGCCAGTGGGTCAGCCTGGCCCCCTGGGGGAGGAGGAAGGCTTCTGAATCTCCCCATGTGCTGACACTGCGCTCACAGTGAGAAAACATGCCCCTACTGCTGGGGGTTCACAGCCTGGTAGATGACGAAATGATCACAAAAAGTTACCGTTTTAAAAACAACTAAGGAAAATTAGAAAGGGGCAGGCAGTACAGGGCTTTGAGAGTGTGGATGGGTCACGGTTACCTTCCCCTATCCCATGTCCCCGAGAAGGGTAGAGTGGACAGACAGATCACAGACAGGATGGAACATGGCACACACAAGACTAAAGAGCCTGGGTGGCCAGACGAAGAGACAGCACGACGAGGGGGCTTTACAGAGAAGGATGTGAGCAGCACTCATAGGCTTTCACAACAATTGCACATTGGAAGGATGGGCCATTTCAAATAGGCCTCGTGGAAGTTTCGCTGGAAGGGAGGTGGTCAGCATTATATGAAGGGGCTTCAAAAAGTTTATGGAAAAATTGCACTATCTGTTCATTCCATTTTTCCAGGAACCTTCTGAAGTCTTCTCATATTAGAAACCAATGCCCACTATGTTTCCAACTCACTTTCCGCTTCAAGAAGTTTTATGATAGGAAAATGCCCAGAGAGAGTTCTTTAAGGAGGCAGCAACAGAAATAATCAGGGAACCAGCCTCTGACAGAGCCAAGCAAACCTGGCGTTAAAGGGTCAACAAGCTCTCCCTGCCTGTCCCCAAAGGAAGGAAGGGAGAGCTCATGAGACATACATGCTTATGAGACACCAAGGCCTTTACCACCCAGATTAATTCGGGGCCAGTAGAGCCCTTGAGACCCAGGTCCATGAAGCTCTGACCTCTCCGAAAGGCTCCACCAATGCCTCTTGGGGTGTAGTCCCGCATCAGTATCCAGCTGGGAAGCTCCGCTAATTTGACTTCCATGAGTTTCTTCTCCTTCAGTGGTACTGAAAAGAGAAACACGTACAGGCCTGAAAAACCTCCCAAGAATTCAAATGGTAGCATTTCAAGGCGTTTATTCCAACCATTCAATAAAGCTGTCACCATGTACAGGCTGCACAGAAATCATGGCTTCAGAAAACTTCCTGGAAAAATCCAGTATCTTTTCATTCCATTTTTCCACATACTACTTGAAGCCCCCTTTTTAATAGTGACAGCTTTATTCATGACCAGTATAAGGTTTGAATGAAAGCCTGCTGGGAATGGCTAATAACTATAGAGCCAGGGCTGTGATGAACAGGCAACAAAGTAGAAGATAGAAATAACAGAGAAAGTAATACTTGTTTTACATATTTTAGCTCATTTGGTCTCCATAACAGTCCCACCAAGTAGTTGATGCCGTGATTTTACAGGAAGGAACGTAAACTTAGAGAGGATGGACAACTTAGGCAAAGTCACAAAGCACACAGGCAGTAGAAGCGGGACTCAATGCAGATCTGGGCCGTGATTCCTAGGCAATGTGCAGAACAGGCCAAGAAATATGGATGGAGCCCATCTGTGCTGGACTCTAAGGTGTCTGCTGACTAGATGCACATGTTTATTGGTGAAGGGCTTCAAGGCATACATGGGCTCACCCAAGAGATGCCAGCCTGAGTAGGTTCAGTAAAAGGAAGCAAAGGGAATTCTACCTGAATGGAATCTATCTGGGACCACAGAAGCACAAAGAACATACAAACTGTTCCAAGAAGTCAAGTAAGTTAGTATAAAGCCATTCCCAAAGATCCAGTGGGCCCCATGGGCCCAGACCATATTCCAATGAGTGTGTGGGAAGAAGGCAGTAAGGGCTCCTGATTGAGGCCTCTGCAGGCTAAGAATCAAACAGGCAGGGGAACACAGAGAAGGTGGAGCAGAGTGGGTCTGGGAGATGCTCAGTGTACGAATGGTCCTCACCCAAAAGACCAATTTTTCAAAACTTAGCAGGTATTCAAAGACCACTGTCCCCTCTTAAAGATGAGCAACCAGGGAAGAGCCAGACTAAATCACGCCAAAGTTTCTTCTCCATTTTGGGATCCAAGGAAAGGCTGAGGTTCCTTTAGAACCAGCTTCAAGTCCACCAAGAGAAATCCCGTTGGTCTCCTGATGCCTCTTGATCAGGGTTAAGGGCTTTCACACGGGCTGCATTCAGAAACATAGACCTCAACTTCCAATCTGCTATTGGCTGTCAAAAGACCCCAAGCGACAGGTGAAGGCATAAACGTGCATGGCTTTAGGGGCAATATTCAGCCTTATCCAATAAATAGGAAACACCTGTATGCTCAGCTGCAAACTGACAATTCAAGGGGTTCAAACCCACCAGTGGATCCACAAGATAAAGACATAGTAATCTGTTCCTGTAAGGATCACAGCCTAGAAAACCCTATGGGGCAATTCTACCTTGTCACATGGGGTCCCTATGAGTTAAAATCGATTTAATAGCACCTAAGGAGCACGGCACACAACAACAACAACAACAA